CATGGAGTCCATCTCTTTGATTCCATCTCTCTGTGACTCACCCACCATGGAGTCCATCTCCTCCACATTGTCTCCATACAAGCCGTGCTTGCTGGTGCCAATGAACTCATCTGTGGTGGGAAGAGGTTCATGTACGTGAAGAAAAGAGAAAAAAAGCAGGAAAGGGCCTTCCTTGTGCCTGAGAAGACAAAAATGGCATGACTCAAGTTTGCAAAGTGTTTGAAGGTGAATAAGATTGTTCTTTGTCTCCTAGCTCCCAGGTGGACATAATCCCCTTCTTTGTCCTCCATGCTCCTGTGGACTGATAGGGTTCACACAAGAGGCCAACCCAAGCTGGAGTGGATTCCAGGATCCCCCAGCATCTTAACAGATCTCCCAACCCTTTGTGGTGAAGGGGTGAAGGGAACCGTTGTTATTTTTATTCTCAGACACCATGACACCTAGAGGGTAAGACTACAAGCTGACCTAGACCTCCCATCATGAGCATAATCCAATTCTGCTTGGTGCACATTCTCATGGCTCGTGACACCACAAACTACAGTCACACCACGAGGGACAGGAAAGTCTAGTGGCAGAGAGGTGGTTTTTTAGCAATCTCTACACATCCTCAACTGGTGTGCAAGAAGGGACAGAAGTCCCATGGCAAGCCACTGGCACTCCACTGGTTCTCCCATGAGGATATGGGGAATAAAGCCAACCCACCTTGAATTCTAACAATCATATGCAAGAGAATGAGTCCCCCAGCTAACCACAGCAGTGCACAGCTCAAATGCCACTCTTTATGACATTTCTGCTGTGCTGAGACATCAATGTGTAAAAAATGAAAAGAAGAAGAAGAAGAAGAGGAGGAGGAGGAGGAGGAAGGGGAAGGAGAAGGAGAAAAAGAAGAAGAAAGGAGTTTTAAGAATAAGAGTTTTGTCATACTTTACTGGGTAGAATAGTGTCCCCACAAAATTCATATTGACTTGAAACCTCAGAATATGATCTTATTTGCAAATACTGTCTTTAATTACTAAACTGAGGTCATTCTTTCTATGGTGGACCCTAAATCCAATGGCTGGTGTCCTTACAGGACAAAGAAGAGGAGAGATACAAAAATGAGAAGCCATGTGGAGATGGAGGAAGAGACAGAGTGAGGTGGCCACAAGCCCAGGGACGCCTGGAGCCCCCAGGAGCTGGGAGACGCAGGAAGGAGCCTCCCTTGGGGCTTTCAGAAGGAACTGGATACATCGCAATGGGTTGAAGGGTGACCCCAAAATATATGTCCATGTCCTATCACCCAGAACCTATAAATAGATCATAGTTTAGCAATGGAGTCTCTGCAGATGTAATTAAGCATCCAGAGATGATATAATTGTAGACCAAGGAGGGTCCTAAACCCAGTGACAGGTGTACTCCTAGGAAACAGCAGAGGAGACACAGACACAGAGGAGAAGCCACGTGGAGATGGAGGCAGAGACTGGAGTGAGGTGGCCACAAGTTCAGGGATGCCTGGAGCCCCCAGGAGCTGGGAGAGGCAGGAAGGAGCCGCCCCTGGGGCCTCCAGAAGGAACTGGATACAAGTATAATGGGTTGAATGGTGACCCAAAATATATGCCAAAGTCCTATCACCCAGAATCTATGAATAGAACATAATTTGGCAATAGGGTGTCTGCAGATATGATTAGTGAGGGATCTTGAGATGAGACCATCCTGGTTTATCTCTGTGGGACTAACGTAATCTTTTAAGGAACAATGCGTGTGGGATGTCTGAAGATTTGCGCTGGCTGACAGAACAGATCAAGATTATTTGTTTAGCTTGCAATTTCAGAGTGATTGGTGCTAAGTCTTGACATGCTGATGCTATCTTTGTAAAACTTTACAGCACTCTGCACATTTGGAACAGTACCAGGGCACGAAAGGGTGCGCCCTGGAAACGAGATGAGGTGTTCAGTTAGCATCTACAAGGCAAATATGATTTTTATCACGCCTTTACTCCATTTGTATATTTATATTGTCTTTGCTTGGCCTACAGCAGAAAGACCAAAATGTCTTCTAACCTCAATTGATTGTGTATTACTCTCTACCGAATCAGCTTTACCTCTGACTCTCGCTGGCTTGGGTCTTTCCAAGTGAACAAGAACAAACTGCTCACTTTCCTTGGAAACCCTATTTTCTGCACACTTGCACCTGTGACCATAATACCTGAGATTCCTTGGTCATCTTATTCAACTTTGAAGACGTTCTTTAGATATTATACACTCAAGTGTGGCTTTCCTGATATCTTGGAAGGGCTCTCCCCTACTGAACTCTTTTACCCTGGACTTATACCTATTTGACTATTTTTTATTGAATTCTGTACCTGTGTATCTTTTTTCTAGCAGTAAATGGGAACTCATCCTCAGAATCCCAGATCCCAGGATGGCCGTCAGTAAAGATGAAGCTTTAATCTGTGTTGAAAGAGAGAGGGGAAAAGGTGTTCCCAGCCTTTTCCTCAAAGGTCCAACAGGGAGATTATAAGCGTGGTTCCCTGGGAGAGTTGCCAGCCACTGGCTTCTGGTAGAATCAAGCCTTATAATAATCACAATAGATAGATAGATAGATAGATAGATAGATAGATACAATGTTTCCTCAAAAATAAGACCTACCCAAAAAATAAGCCCTAGTGGGATTTCTATGCAATTGTTAAATATAAGCCCTACCCTGATAATAAGACCTAGTGATGGGCATGGCTGCATAGCCAGGCCATGCATTTCAGCACGGAGAGTAAGACATCCCCTGAAAATAAGCCCTAGTGTGTCTTTTTAAGAAAAAATAAATATAAGACAGTGTCTTATTCTCGGGGAAACACGGTAGATAGATAGATAGATAGATAGATAGATAGATAGAATTTATATTCTTTCGTGGCCCCTGCTCACACAGAAAGCTTCTGATTTTAATTCCCCAGGTGTTTCTTTTCCTAACAGAGAAAGGATACGATACACAACTTATGCTATTGTCTCATTCCCTGAGAAATATATTTTCCTTTGTAAACTAGTGCGCTGACAATATGTAACATAAATTAACCTGCCAGATTTGTGATTTTGAGCCTCCTGTGAGTCTGCCTCCTTGGTTTGAGAAAATATAAATTTCAGAGCTAACAGAGAGATCTTGATTTGAATAACTGAAACTCAAAAAGCATCCGGACTTTTTTAGCAGGGTAGAGACTGCTGATTTTGTAAGGACTCTTTTTTTTTTCTTTTGCAGTTTTTGGCCAGGGCTGGGTTTGAACCCACCACCTCTGGTATATGGGGCCAGCGCCCTACTCCTTTGAGCCACAGGCGCTGCCCTTTGTGAGGACTTTTTTTTTGCTTATGTGTGGTGTCAGTTATCACAAACAGTGTGCACGGATCTTTTTTTTTTCTTTTTGCTAATCAGCTTTCTGTACAGTTTGTGTATTTGCTGTGTGACTCAAAATTATTCCAACACACTTTAGAAAAGAAAAACTTGTTTGACACCCCTGGAAAGAGTCCCAATTGCACTAAAATACACATCAAAGATTTATCAAAACCTATTACACTGCCAGTAATTTTTTTTTGATTTGTTTATTTCATTTTTTTTTGAGACAGAGTCTCACTACATCACCCTCAGTAGAGTGCCGTGGCGTCACAGCTCAGAGCAACCTCACACCCTTGGATTTAAGTGATTCTCTTGCCTCAGCCTCTCAAGTAGCTGGGACTACAGGTGCCCGCCACAATGCCCAGCTATTTTTAGAGACAGGGTCCTGTTCTTGCTCAGGCTTATCTCAAACCTTTGAACTCAGGCAATCCCTCTGCCTCAGACTCCCAGAGTGCTATGATGATACTTTCATGTTTTAACTCAATATATTTTAATACTGTCATCCCCTATTTTAAAAATTATCTTGGCTGGGCATGGTGGCTCACACCTGTAATCCCAGCATCCTGGAAGGTCAAGACAGGTGGGTTGCTTGAGGTCAGTAGTTGGAGACCAACCTGAGGAAGAGCAAGACCCCACATCTACTAAAAAATAGAAAAACTAGCTGGACGTCAAGGTGAACACCTATACTCCCAGCTACTTGGGAGGCTGAGGCAAGAGGATCACTTGACCTCAAGAATAGGAGGTTGCTGTGAGCTGTGATAATACCACAGCACTCTACTCAGGGTGACAGAATGAGACTCTGTCTCAAAAAAAAAAAAAAGACCTTGCTATGATTGCATGTATTTTTAATTACTACTTTTACCTTTCTAAAAATGAAACGGCCTCTTTCACCATGATGGACCCAGCTCTCTCGGCCTTCATGGGCTGCTCCATGATGTTCTGCTCCCTCATGAGAAGGCAGTTCCAATACAAAGGGGATTGGTAGCTGTAGAACCACGCGCATGCCAGCAAGAGCACAAACAGCGTTAGGGTGACGATGAGGGACCAGGGGACAGACACTCGGCTGGCCAGCTTCCCAAGGGTGAGGGTGAGTGTGGCAATGATGACCAGCTGCACACAGAGCCACAGCCAGTGCCCAATGGCTAATTCTGTGTCACGGGAGGGGTCTGGCCAGCAAGGATTAGTCAGAGTGAATGGCATGCCGTAATAGTAATCAAACCCATAATTATACGGATGGTGGCAGTGGTCACTTCGAGATCGGCAGTTTAGACCTTGATGCCATTTGCCTGGAATTAAACAGAAAAGCACATACACAATTCACACACTAATCTAATCTAATCTGCTTGACTATTACAAGGAACATGTGGCCATTCAGTCTTCATGTGAAATAATCATCTAATCTAAATAATAATAATGATAAAATGTATTTCCTTTCCTTAAAAATTTCAAGTCCAGCATTGTCACAATTTTCACAGAAGTCAAAGAAGACGTCTGTGTTCAGAACTGCTTGTGAGTAACAGGACAGGATGGAAAACAATGGGAGAAAGATACGATACCATGGTGAGTTTGTAGCAAGGAGTGTAAGCTAAAATTTTCTCATTTACAAAGAGGACAAAGTCATCGACACAAAGATGGATACATTACAGACACAAGGTAGGTTGTGGGTGATGGATGGATGGGTAGATAAAGAGGATAGGTATAGATAAAAGATAGACATAGTAGAGATTTACAGAATAAAGATAGAGATAGACAAAATGTACTTAGAATAGGTAGATACAGATGTCTGTAGTCATAGATGTCGATATGGATATATATATAGATGAATAGATCAATGCTGAGTGGATAGATAATAGATACAATAGTGATAGAATAGACAGATATATCCATAGATGAT